ACATCCCTTCTTGTAGGAACCCAGCGTGATAGAAGGGACTAAATAATTTATTATTAATAATAATGAATAATTATTAATATGATAATATTAAAATTGATAACTGAGCAAATGAGGGAGGTGATTGAACCTGCCAGGAGCACCCCATTGTGCCTGGGTCTCGGGCACCCCTCTGCCTGGGCAGGCTGGTTACCTGCCCTGTCTGTGTTCTCATTCCCACACCTCGGTGGCAGGATTCAATCTTTTTTTGTGAGAAAAAGCTCGATGTGCTGTGAGCTGCTCCCTGGAGCGTTATTAACCCTTTGCCTCCCCCAGAAACTCACTGGTGTCATGCTGGAGGTCATCGCTGAGGCCTATGCCAACGACTTCACCCCGGAGGCCCACGGCGCCTGGGCCAAGATGAGGACCCTCATCTACACCCACGTGACGGCGGCCTACAAGGAGGTGGGCTGGGCTCAGTACCCCACCGCCCCCCTGTGAGCGGCCACGGGGCCAGGCGAGGGGCAGGGAGGGCTTGGCTCACCCCAGGACTTCACTCTGGTCTCTTCTCAAGATCTTCGCTCAGTCTGGGGAGCCCGGCAGGGCCAGCTCTTGTTAGCTGCCAAGTCACAATTTGATCTCCACGGGGTTTAAAAAACTAAATAAGCCAAAAAAAATAAATAGAACCACGACGGGTGTGGGTGGGTCGGGGTGAAGCGGTGGCAGGGGACGCAGTGCTCCAGGGGAGAGCGTTGGTTGTGGGCTCCATCTTACCGTCCTGGCCCGTCCATCACCACCCCCCAAATCCTGCACCTCGCTTGCACCATCTCCAAGTCCCTGCCCCAGCTCTGCTGTGTGGCAGTGACACTTTACCCCAGGTAAACCTGGCTCCTTGCTTTCGGTGACACGATGCTTTTGGGGACAGCCGGCTGCCTGGCTGGCACCTAAAACACTTTGCTTTGCACTTTCTGTACCCCCCTGGCAGGGCGGGTGGCCAGAGCCATTCTTGGTGGTCCATCACCCTGCAGCCTGGGCTGGCAGCAGCCTTCGCCTCTCCAGTCATCCCCAGTCCCTCTCCTTGGCTGGCTGTTGCAAACCCTCCCGGGGCTGGGGGGAGCGAGGGGTGGGAGAGCCTCTCTCCTGCAGCGTGAGGATGGGCAAGGAGGGGGTGCCTTTGGGCTGCCTGCCCTCAGGGCTCCAAGTCAGGTGGGATCCCTGTGCCAGATTCAGGGAGATGGTGAGCCCACCCGCCTCCCTTCAGCTCCCGTGGGCAGCAGGGAGGTGCCTGAGGCTGGGCTTTGGTGGCACAGGTTGGTGCCATCGCCCCGGGGGCTGTCCAGCAGACAGGGCAGCACAGGGGTGTCTCTGTCCTGCTCGGTGAGAAGAAAGGTGCAGGCTGGGATCAGGAGGAGGAAGGATGAGGTGGATGTAGCAGGAAGGATGCCTGGGTGTGAAGAAAGGTCCCTGCTCTGTTAAAATGAGTAACTTGGAGCATATTCCTGCCCTCTTGGTGAAACTGGGTTCCTTCAAATAAAGTGCCTGGTAGAAACCAGCCCACGCAGGAGCTGGTCCATCCCCAGGGCTCGCAGTGCTCCCCCCATGCCTGGCAAAGGGCTCTCCCCCCTCAAAATGAGTAGTGGCTGCAGGGCTCGCGGCACTCAGCCTGCCTCCAGCTCCTCCTCGGGCTGTGGGTGTCTGCTTATGTTCTGCCTCAGTTTTCCCTTTGGCTACAAAAGCAGGAGCAGTAGCCCCGTTGCCTCCTGCACACGTGTGCATGGATTTAGAGGTTGCTCTGAGGACTGATTGCCAAAGGATTGGGCATGAAGCTTCGGATGTGCTAGGAAGCTTTGGCATACTCGTCACCCACTATTTCCCAGAATCTCTCTGTTATTTTAGAGCTTTAGCATTAAGGGCAATGTTACCTATTAAAGCAGGAGCAGGGGAGGTTCCTTTTGGGATTGCCTCTGGCCTCACTCCACTGCTGCCCTGGAAAGCTGGCAGCTTCCTGGGAGATGCCAGCTCTGCTCCTGGAGGTTTCTTGGCAGGCAGCGAGCCCACGGTCCCAGCTGAGATTGCTGTGGCTGCCTTGGGGACATCCCCCACACCATGGGGACACCACTGGAGGTGGCAGCAGCGGCTCCCCAGGGCTGACCTCCCCCCTCAAGCACAACTGGCCAGGAACTCCTGCTTTGCTCCCCAGCAGCCAGCTCATCTGTGCTTTTCATCATCCACAGGGAAAACAGGGGGTTTCCCCATTTCTGGTTTTACTTCCATGCCAAGGGACCCCTCAGCCCTGGCACTGCTTGGGGGGCCACAGTGGCCCCCAATACCAGGTGCCTGCTCCCAGAAAAGCTCTCAGTGGGGTTTTCCTCTTTCCTCCTCCTGCTCATGACCCATGGGAGCCTGAAGGAGGCTCAGACCTGCTGACCCCATCCCTGACCCTTCCATCTCTCCTGCCAAGATGCTGGCACAGCTCAGGCCTGGGCAGTGACCCTGGGACGGCTGCTCAAAGCAGCATGGAAGGTGTGCTGGGGGGACAACGTCTTCTCCTGTTCCTCTGGGCTTGGTTAGATGCAGCCAGGAGTCTGGGTCATCGCTCAGTGCCTTGGCTCTGGGCAAAGAGGGCTTTAGGGAGGGCTCTAAACCTCTTGACTGTTTTTCCCCAGCACACCCTTGGCTTCCTGCAGAGCCCTGGGATCAGAATTAGTCCCAAAATAGCCCCAGGACTCCCCTAATGCTACTGCAGCTGCTCTCTCTGCCCTTGCAGTGCTTTCCTCCTTATGTCCCACAACAATACAGGTGGGGAGGAACGATGGAGCCAGGACTGATGGCATGTCCTGGGCATACGCAGCGGGTTGGGTAGAAGCAATCACTGAGATCAGGGTGTTTATGAAAGGAAAGGATGGGCACTGAGTGACAAATGATGCTGCTTTGCTGGTGGGGTGGTTTGTCCCATAGAGTCAGCATCCCCACGATTCAGCCCACCATCCTGCTCCCATGAAGGGGTCAGCAGCTGGTGCCTCCAGCTCACGTCTGAATGTCCAAGCAGCTCCCACTCCTGCTGGTGGAGGCAGCTGCTGGCCAGGGTCAGGATTAGGCCTGTGCAGATAGGAAAAGACCTGTTCAGTCACTGATTTTGCTCCAGTGCATGGCTGGACAGTGGTCAGTTGGAGCAAGTCTTTTAGATGGGGTTTTTTTGGGTGTATCACGGGACTCTCACAAGCACAGTTTCATCCATTTCTGCCAGACCTTTGCGGCCAGCAGCACGTACTTTCAACGAGTTCGTGTACTCCCCATGCTCTGCGGATGCTGGGCCAGGGATGTTTCCATGCAGGGATGTTTCATCTCTAGACAAAGTTCACACATTAACCTTTGAGGTTAATGTTCTCCAGGTGGGAATTTTATTTTTCAGTGCAAATCCTTCCTCTCCCTCCCCACAACCCAAACTGGGCTTGGTCGCAGTCAGCAGGGAAGCGATTTTGGGGTGACTGGAAAGTCCCTGTGCTCATGCCCGACCCACCCGAGTGCCTTGGCTTTGGGGGAGCAGCAGCAAGATCCCCCACCTCACCTTTGAACGGGGCTTGGTGGTTTCTTTCTTTTTGTTATCATCCCTATAAAAAACTGCCCCGTGACCTTGTGCGCCCACTCCTGTGCGTGCTGGGCTTGGCGGTTTTTCCAGGCACATTTTTCTAAAGCAAATCCAGATGTGTGCAGCTGCTGTCCCTCGAGGAGCCCCCTCCTTCCCGGGCAGCCAAACTGCAGGCCAGTCGAATATATGCAAACAAAAACATGTTTATTTTTACCAGCTCTGGAGGACGTCAGCTGCAGCAGGGAGGGCGGCCGGGGCAGAGATAAAGCGACCGCCGCCTCCCCGCCGCCCGCAGCAGAGCAGGCGTTGCTTAAACCGGGAACGTTCTCATCTGGGGAGAGATGAAAATGAACAGAAAAAGGGAAAAAGACCATTCCAGAGTGACAGGGCTGATAAATGCTGGGTGGAAGAGCAGAAAGGGAGGCCGGGTCCTGGCTCTGAGTGTAGCTCTCTGGCACACACGCACACGCCTGTACAGCTGCTCCCTGTTACACCCCATTGGTCCCCCCCCAAAACACACTGCAGCCCACTGGGGACTCCACTGTCCCCGCTTCCCTCCAGGATCTGCTTGCTGGGGCTCCATGTTTCACCTCCTGGCATGCTTGGGCTCAGATTAGGGTGCTGCCTGTGCGTGCTTTGGGCTCAGCTTTGCTCTCTTTGGCGGCAGGTAGGGACTGACTTGTCAAGTTGTTCCCCCAGAATTCATGGTTGAGAGGCTGGGGGCTCAGGGCATGGTGCTGGCATGTGCTGGAGACCTGCTGGTCTCTCCCCTTCCTTGGAGGGGGGAGTGGGTGGGCATGTCCCCCAGCCCCATTCACCTTCCAGAGGGGTGCTGCTGGGCTGCTCCTGCTCGCTCTGCTTCCCTGGTGGCCATGTCCATGGGGCTGCCCCTGTGCCAGTCCAGCTCACTGCTGCCCCTCTAACCAGGGCAGGATCTGGCCCCTGGCTCAGCCAGCACCTCTGTGGGCATCAGGGCTGGGCTTGGACCCAGGACCCAGGAGGGAAAGTCTTTGTGTGCCCCACCAGCAGCAGCAGAGTGCTGAGTGGGGGAATTTGGTGTCCCTGGGACAGGGTCCCCCCATAACACGCCTCACCCTGGCTCTCTTTGGGGACATCCACTCATTGACCAGCTTGTGTCCTCCCAACCCCAAGTACACAGCCGCATTTGGTCAG